CCCCGCCGCAGTCGGCAGCCCATTCGGGCCTCGCCGCCCTCCACCTCCCCGCGCGCGCCTCGCAGGCCCGCAGGTCTCGGCGCGCTGGCCCATCCCTGGACCGTGCTCGGTTCATTAGGTCGGGCTCTGCTTCGTTGTGTTTTTCCACCACGAGCTGCAGTTCCACGCTGCCTCGCCTCAGCATCAGCTCAGCGCGGCCCAGTGCAGCTCTGCCCCGGCGCCGGCCCCCCCTCGGCGCCCACCCCGCCGCAGCTGGCAGCTCTGAGTGGCCCGGCTTCCTCTGTTCCTGTCGCGAGGGGGGTCCTCTTTTTTTTGCATCGCGGCCTCAATTTGTATACTTCGCGCCCCCTGTTGCCACTCCACCAGAGCAGTCGCCCCCTGCCCAGCCGCCGACGCAAAAAGTGCTTGCGCGTGTGGGTGAGTGTCTGTGTGCCTGTGTGAAGTGTGTGTGTGTGTGTGTGCGTGTGTCTGTGTGAGTGCGTGTGTGTGGATGCTGTGTGTGTTGTGTGTTGTGTGTGTTGCGTATGTATGGATTGTGCTGTTTGTTGGTGTGTTACATGTATTATGTGTTGTGTGTGTGTTGTGCGTTGTGTGTGTGTTGTTGTTTGTAGTGTGCGTGCTATGTGTGTCGCGTGTGTGGTGCGTGCGTTTTGATGTGCGCGTGTGCGCGTGCGTGGGCGTGGGCGTGTGTGCATGTATTTTGGCGTGTGTGTGCGTGCGCGCGCGTGCGTGTGGGCGTGGGCGTGGTTCTGTGTGCGTTGCATGTGCGCATAAGCGTGTAAGTGTGCAACTTCGCGCAAATGCGCAAGGGTGCGTGCGTGCGTGCGTGCGTGGGGGGGGCGGGGGCGTGACTGTGCGCGGTGCGTTGTGTGTAAGTGTGTACGCGTGTAAGTGCGTAAGTGTTGAGGTGCGTGCAATGCGCCGGCGCGCAAGGGCGCGCGTGTCCAAGGGGGGCGGCGTAATTCGACCTGCCCGCGCGCGCAGTAGAACGGACGTGGTTTTCAATGCGCAACCACGGCGTCGGCACGCCCATCGCTGATTTGGCCAGCAGTGAGCCGAAACGCGGCGCCCCCGTCAGTGGCGTGTCCTAATGAGGGACGGGAGCTGGCAATACAGAAATTGACGCACCTTAAATTCGACTGTGCAGCACAGGGCCCATCGTCGGCGACACCATAGGGGCCATGGCAGCGTGTCCTGATGAGGGACGGGAGCTGGCCATGCAGAAATTGACGTACCTTTAATGCGACTGCGTAGCACAGGGTCCATCGTCGGCGACACCATAGGGGCCATGGCATCATAGACACCGTCGGCGACTACAACATCGAATCCTATAGCATTCCTTTCAACGCGCTTAATACAGGTCTCAGGGCAGGGGGACTGATGGTCTCTTGACCTGGCAAGTGTGTCGGACGCGCTCCGGCGTGCTCCAGGGATCCAGGGCATTCTTTCGCTGCTACCGCGAATGTCCATGAACCGCTTCGCGGCCCCTTCAAAAAAGCCTTGCAATCAGCTTGTGCGGCAGCCTGCTGATTTTGCTCCGCGCGGGCACTCCCTCTGCTTCTGCCCCTCTTGTTTTCGCCCTCTCGCCCCGCGTCGCTCTGTTCTCTTCTTCCCTCCCCCAAGCGTTCCCCGCCCAAACTCATGCCCCAATATTGCAGCAATCTTGCAGTCTTCGTTTGTGCAGTTGTGCAGCGCGGAATCCCGGGGCCTCCGGTCTGGGCCTGCCGACTCCACCCGCGCGTCTCCCATGGTCGGGCATTGTTCCGCGCGGGCAGCGTTGCGCGCACGATCAACCACTAGTGGCGCGCCATGCTTTCACCTTCCGCCTCCTGGTACTCTCTCCTCGCTTTGTCTTGCCGCTGGTCGTTGCGATTGTTCTCGTCGCTGTCGTCGTCGTTCCCCATGCCGTTTTTGGCGTCGCCGCGTGCGCATCACGCAATGTGGAGCCTTAGGCGCGGTTGGGGCGTTCCGCGTTTTTGTCTGCTTCACAGACGGGCCGTCGTCGTGGTCTCGGTCGTGTTCGTCGTCCCCCTTCCCTGTTCCCTCCTTCCCTCCCTGTCGATTTCCCGCGTCGTCTTCCTCGCTTTCTTTCGCCCCGCCCTTCCCCCCCTTCGTCGCGGTCGTCGTCGTCGTCGCCGTCGTCGTCGCGCGTGGCCACGCCGAGCGGGGAATTTCCACGGCCAGTGGAGCAGCGCGAACGCATCTTGACACCCGCCGCGGACGTGTATTTCTTCGTGCCCGACCTCCCGCAGTCTCAACGAAGCAGCCAGCACAATGTCACAGCCGATCGGTTTGTTGCCGAATGTGACAGCACAATGCCATCGTTCATTTGCGCAGCACCGTTTTTGCCGATGCGCCGTCGGGGCGCCCGGATCTTCACCTACCTACGCTGCCTTTTCCCTCCGTCGACGGCCGCGGGGGCGGCGTCGTAGTCGGGGCCGCGGGCAAGAACGTGACCGGCCTCTTCGACGTCGTGGCGGGGCACTTCATTGCCCCCCCCCCCCATCCTCTCCTCCTGCCGTCGCACATCCCCATCAGGAATTTCTGATTTTTTCCAGCGACGCGAGCGCTTTCCACGGACTTCGACGGCGTCGACGGCGATTTCTTCGACGCACTTCACAACGGCCCGTCAAAATGATGTTCATCCGCAAATTCCCGACTTAATCTCACAAGCAACTCACAATGTATAGTCATGCCGTCGGGCCCATGCCATGCCCCCCCCCTTGTCCGCGTCGCCGCCTCACGCGCACTTCAGCGCGCAGGCCAGGCGCGATTGCTAGCAGGATGCGCATCGGCTTAGGCAGTTGTCCACTTTCAGGAGGCATCGTTGCCCAGGCAGGGGGCGCGCTCGTCTGGCACCCCGCTCGTTCTTCCTGGTTCGGGGCTTCGAGGCCCCATGCCAGAGGCAACCCCTGTGTCCACGGGGCGTAGCGTAATTCGACCAGCCCGCGCGCACAGTAGAACGGACGCGATTTTCAATGCGCAACCACGGCGTCGGCACGCCCTTCGCTGGTTTGGCCAGCAGTGAGCCGAACCGCGGCGCCCCCGTCAGCGGCGTGTCCTAATGAGGGACGGGAGCTGGCAATACGGAAATTAACGCACCTTCAATTCGATTGTGTAGCACAGGGCCCATCGTCGGCGACACCATAGGGGCCATGGCAGCGTGTCCGGATGAGGGGCGGGAGCTGGTCCTACAGAAATTGACGTACTTCGAATTCGATTGCGTAGCACAGGGTCCATCGTCGGCGACACCATAGGGGCCATGGCATCATAGACACCGTCGGCGACTACAACATCGAATCCTATAGCATTCCTCACAATTCGCTTAATACAGGTCTCAGGGTGACTGATGGTCTCTTGACCTGGCAAGTGTGTGTGTGTGTGTGTGTGTGCGTGTGTGTGCGCGCGTGTGCGCGTGTGTGTGCGTGTGTGCGTGTGTGTGCGTGTCTGCGTGTGCGTGTGTGGGGGTGTGGGTGTGTGTGTGTGTGCGTGGGTGTGTGGGTGTGGGTGTGGGTGTGGCCGTGGGTGCGTGTGTGTGTATGCGTGTGCGTGTGCGTGTGCGTGTGCGTGTGCGTGTGCGTGTGCGTGTGCGTGTGCGTGTGCGTGTGCGTGTGCGTGTGCGTGTGCGTGCGTGTGTGCGTGTGCGTGTGCGTGTGCGTGTGCGTGTGCGTGTGCGTGTGCGTGTGCGTGTGCGTGTGCGTGTGCGTGTGCGCGTGCGTGTGCGAGTGCGCGTGCGCGTGCGCGTGCGCGTGCGCGTGCGCGTGCGCGTGCGCGTGCGCGTGCGCGTGCGCGTGCGCGTGCGCGTGCGCGTGCGCGTGCGCGTGCGCGTGCGCGTGCGCGTGCGCGTGCGCGTGCGCGTGCGCGTGCGCGTGCGCGTGCGCGTGCGCGTGCGCGTGCGCGTGCGCGTGCGCGTGCGCGTGCGCGTGTGCGCGTGCGTGTGCGCGTGTGTGCGCCTGTGCGTGTGCATGTGCCTGTGCCTGTGCCTGTGCCTCTGCCTGTGCCTGTGCCTGTGCCGGTGCCTGTGCCTGTGCCTGTGCCTGTGCGCGTGCTTGTGCTTGTGCCTGTGCCTATGCCTGTGCTTTGCCTGTGCCTGTGCGTGTGCGTGTGCGTGCGCGTGTGCGTGTGCGCGTGCGTGTGCGTGTGGGCGTGGGCGTGGGCGTGGGCGTGGGTGTGGGTGTTGTGGGTGTGGGTGTTGTGGGTGTGGGGGGTGGGTGTGGGGGGTGTGGGTGTTGGGGGTGGGTGTGGGTGTAGGTGTGGGTGTGGGTTTGGGTGTGGGTTTGGGTGTGGGTGTGTGGGTGTGGGTGTGTGGGTGTGGGTGTGGGGGTGTGGGTGTGGGTGTGTGGGTATGTTCGTGTGTGTGGGTGTGTGTTTGTGGGTGTGTGGGTGTGTGTGTGTGTTTGCGTGTGTGTGTGTGTGTGGGTTTGTGTGGGTTTGTGTGTGTGTGTGTGCGTGTGTGTGTGTGCGTTGCCGCTGCTCGTGCGGTTGGGGGCCTTTTGGGCCGTTTTGGGCTGGGTTTGGGGACCTTTCGGGCCGCTTTGAATTTTCAGGATTCGGAAAACCGGACCCGAAACTATGTGAAAAACGTATGGCACGTCAAGCGCGTTGCCGCTTGAAGCCTTCTTTCGGGCCCTGTGGGGGCCCTCTTGGGGCGCCGTGGGTGGTCTTCAGGCCATCTCGGCTGCTCCGGAGGCCTCTTCGTCGTGGGGGCATTTTGGCGGCCACGAAGACTGGACTTGGAGGCTGCGATGGCCTCGTGGGTACCTTGACGAGCTCGTACCCGCACCCCCTCTTATCGGATTTTGCACCCCAGGGGGGGAGGGTGAAAGGGGGAGGGGGACAGCCGAATGTCGCACACGCGTTTTCACATGTCACAGCCCCCCCCCCTAGTAGACAGCATAGCAGAGACAGGCTCGGATATGCAAGTGACACGACGCGAAACGCACGATAAATAACAGCACAGCTGTCCGGATTCATTATCCGCAGCCTTGCGCTCCCAAGAGGGTTGATGGATACGATTTCGTGTACGTCCCGATCGACTTCAAGCGAGGGCTGTGCAAGGGCTATTCTTTTGTCAACATGGTTGCCGTGGAGCATCTTCAGCGGTTGGTCGAGGTCTTCGACGGCTACAACCGGTGGTCGCGCTCCTCCACGAAGGTCTGCCAGGCGAGCATGTCGCACACGCAGGGCTTGACGGCGAACATCGAGCGCTATCAGAACAGCCCTGTGATGTGTGATGCAGTCCCCGACATCTTCAAGCCAGCGCTCTTCGTGGGCAAGCGGCAGGTCCCATTCCCTGCGCCAACCAGAACGTTGCCGCAGGTGGCCCTGAATCTTTGAGTCCCAGTGCATACAGCGCACGTGCAGCGATGTGGCGTGGGTGCATATCCCTGCTGACTCCAAAGGTGCTGCCATAGCTGTCGAAGCGATCGGTGGATCTATCAGGGCGCATTCTCAGGCATACAACTCGACCCGAGCGACCCGGCACGACGGGGGCGGCCCGACCCGCTGTGGACGCCCTGATGCGATACGGCCAGAGCGTCCGATATGTTATATTGGATCCGGTCGGGCATCATGGCTCCAGGTCTACGCGCGGCCGCCTTTTTTCCCTTGAGCTGAGGAGGAGGAGGCGGAGGCGGAGGCGGAGGCGGAGGCGGAGGCGGAGGCGGAGGCGGAGGCGGAGGCGGAGGAGGAGGAGGAGGAGGAGGAGGAGGAGGAGGGGGAGGAGGAGGAGGAGGAGGAGGGTGGCGATCCAGGGGCCCGCGCCTGCTGTTTCTTCGAGGCTCAGGGCTCGGGTTGTCCACCTCGGCCTCCAGGCGGTTGGCTTCTGCAGCTTGCTGGCCCAATGATCTCGTGCCGCGGCCGTAGCGGTTGCTTCAGCGGTCAGTGGATTTCGCGTAAATGCATTCCTACCCGAACTCAGGCGTGGAGAGGGAAGGAGGGAGGATGAGGGCTAGGAGTGGGAGGAGGACGAGAGCTTAAATGGTACAAGCCGAATGGGTCCCGCCGATCGGGCGCCGGTGTTCCTGTGACGCGTCGGTCTCGAGGGCTTCAGGCGAACTCCCAGGCATGAGCTCCACGAAGTAGGCGGCCAGACCCCAGTCCCGCGCAGAGACCAGTCCCCTCGGAGCCCCCGGAAGCCGTGCCGCGAGGCAGCACGGGGTGCTCCCCCTCCAGGGCCGACGATCTGTGGCGAGGGCCTCCCAGGGCGAGACCGCCCGCTGGAGCCGCGGCCCCAGACCCCCCAAGGGTCCCCAGGGGTCCTCAGGAAACGGCGTCGGGAGGTTGCTTCACATTCTCTGGCGCGTAGCGGTCGCTGCCCGCGCCAAGCCCGTCCCTTCCCCCCCACGAGGTGAGTGGGCGAGCGGGGCAGAGGCAGGGGGCGGGTTCTCGCACGTGCCACGCGGGCCGGGTCACCCAGAGATCCGCAGAGGCCTCGGGGAGGCCCGGAAATCCTCCCAGAGGCATGCCACCAAAATGTTTGGGAATGCCCAATTCCCTCCTCCACCCTCGACCTTCGAGGGCAGAACCTGGCAGGGAGGATGCAGGGATGGTCGGCGGGGCATCATCGGGGTGACGGGGCACGGGTGGAGGGGGGATTGGAGGAAGAGGAGGAGGAGGAGGAGGAGGAGGAGGAGGAGGAGGAGAAGGAGGAGGACGAGGGGGGAGGAGGAGGAGGAGGAGGAGGAGGGAAGAGGAGGAGGGAGGAGGAGGAGGAGGAGGAGGAGGAAGAGGATGAGGATGAGGAGGGGGAGGAGGACGGAGGGGGCGAGATTGGGCAAGCTCAGTCGGGAGGTTAATCACCCCCCCCTCGATATACCCCATGTAGAGTGAGGTGAAGGGGAGGGGGGAGCAGAGGCGCGAGACCTCGGGAGACTGGGGCACCCATCGCTTCCGAGGGGGAAAGGAGGGCACGCCCTTCCAGCCCCCTTCACGAGGCCGGGGGTGGCAGCTCGAGTGCCCGTCGGGGCCCCCCCTCCCCTCTGGGGCCTCTCGCCTGCACCCCCGCTCGCCCCCCCCCCCCGATGGCCTGTTGCCCCCCCGCACCCCGCCAGCGCCTGCCCGAAGTGGAGAGAGGCGGGGATTTTGCGTGGCCCGTCCCGTGCTCGCCAGCGAGGCGGGCGCGTCGGAGCCTGCACCCCCCCCTGCTCACCCCCCATGGCCTGCTGCCCCCCCCCCGCACCCCGCCAGCGCCTGCTCGAAGTGGAGGGATGTGGGGATTTTGCGTGGCTCGTCTCGTGCCCGCCAGCGAGGCGGGCGCGCCCCTGCTATGCCGGGGGAGGGACGGAGGAGAGGGGGGAGGGAGGGCTCCTCCTCCGGGCGGCCGCGAGTCTCTCCCGCGCGCCCGGACGCTCTGTGGTCGGGAGTCGGCGGACATCTCCGCCGCCCTGCGAAGCGGGCGGCACCCCCGGGGGTACCCGGCTGTCGACGACAGCAGCGACTCTCGGGGGGCCTGAGGGGTCCGCCGGCTGGGGCCTCTAGACTCCGCTCCCTGGGAGCACGGCGCGCACCGCCACGACCCGGTGGTGGCGTTCCCTGGGCTCTTCGGCGGCCTGCAGGCCCCGCGCGGCAGTTCGCCCTCAGCTGGCCCGGGCTGCGCCGCCCGCCTGCAGCCTGCAGGAGTGTCCAGCTGTCGGGGGTGTCTGTGCGGACTGGTGCGCAATTTGGTGCGCGGCTAGATTTCCGTGCGGATAAGCGGGAGGCGGCGCGGCGCGGCGGCGATCGGGGGCTCGTGGATTGGCTGCGGCCGGAGTACGTGGTGGTGCCCGCGAAGAAGAAGGTGCCGGTGCGCGTGGTGAAGTACGACCTGAACCTCCGGGGCGCGTCCGTGCGGGCCGTGCAGGCGGTGCACGCGATGCTGTCGCGGATCGTGGAGTTCGAGTGCCAGCGTTCCACCCGGCGTACGAGCCGCCCGCGGAGGTCGCGGACGCCATGGAGGTGCTGAAGCGGGGGCGCACCGGCTGCGCGGCGTGCAACGTGGAGGTGGCGCGCTGGGACGAGCTGCCGCCTGCGCCGGGGAACCCCGCCTTGGAGGATGGCCCGGCACTGCGGTGTCGCGGCACGCGCCGCCGGTGCCAGCTGGAGATCGAGCGGACGGCGAGGGCTAGCGCAGCGGCGGGGCAGGGGGAGGCGGTAGGCATGGCGCTGCGGTCCCACGAGAACCACAGGGACCCTTGCTTCCGGTTCCCGCGGGACGACTTGCAGGAGCTCTTCGACAATGCCACGGTGACGGAGGCGATGCTCGTGGCGCTGGAGCACATGCAGGTGCGCTATGTGCGCGTCTCGGCCAGCGGCTTCCGGAAGTTCCGTCGGAACACGCTCTCGCTCCCGCAGGACATTTTCGCGTTCGCGCGGCGGCACGACCTGCTGAAGAACTTTCGGCCTGGAGATAGGGTGGACAGCTGCCGGGGCGCGCTGGGGGACATCCGGGACCCGGACCGCCCGGAGCGGAAGGCCACGAGTGCCACGCCGGAGGAGCGGGAGAGGTACGCCACGGACGAGGGCGGGCGGCTCGTGATCCCTGGGGTCGTTCTGGAGCGCAGGGCCGACGGGATGCTTGTGGTGGAGTACGAGTACGGGGGCCCGGGGCAGGAGGGCCGGAGGTCGTGCGGGACGGGTTCGGAGCACGCGCAGAACGTGTCTCCCCGAGTGCGCATGCCGTGGCACCCGCGGGACGTGCCGCTGCACTTGCTGCTGCGGCGGAATGTGGGGCGCGGTCGTGGCGTCCTGGAGGGCTTGTGGGTGCGCTGGCACTACGTGGCGAATCTCTTGCAGGCCTTGTGCGCCTTCGCGCCGCAGGGGGGTGAGCCGCGGCGCTTGGGCGGGAGCGATTTCGAGCCGATGCACAAGTACTACGACCCAAGGATGTTCCATGTGATGAGCGAGGAGGAGATGCGCTTGGAATTCGCGCCGTTGGAGGTCGACGGCGCGGGCCTGGAGGCAGGCGCGGCGGCGGCCCTGACGAAGCAGGAGCGGCTCGCGCACACTGTGAACGCCGAGACTCCGGAGCAGTTCATTGCCGCCGGCTTCAGCGTGACTCCTGTCGGTCCGGCGGACGAGGCGCCGGCGGGGCCGGCTGCGGCCGCGGACGAGGGGGGAGCCGGGGAGGCGGAGGGTGAGGGCCGGGCGGGGTGGGAGCAGGAGGAGCAGGACGTGCTCGTGGACGCGGAGACCTTCGAAAGGTGGCTGGAACGCACGGAGTTCGAGGTGGGGGCGCGGGTGCAGAAGTGGCGGGCGCGCGTGGAGCCGGCGCCCGAGGGCGAGCTCGCGCCGCTGAAGACCGACGACGACGAGACCGTGGCGGACCTCTTCGGGCGGCTGGTGGCCGAGGGGGTTCGTGCGGACGCGGCGCAGGCGGCGGGTGAGGATGGCACGGCAGGCGCCACGGTGCACGCGCGCGACCTCGTGGCGTGGCTCCGCGAGCACATGGGCCGGGAGGCTTTGCACGGGGGCGTAGACGTCGCGGACGTGGCGATCCTGGACGACCTCCGCGGCGAGTTGACCATCGCGGAGAGCTGGAAGGCCGGGGCCAGCGGTCGGCACACGGGCGCTTTTCGGGAGGACGGGGCCGCCGTGGACGAGGAGGCGGACGCCGTGCGGACAGCGCAGCGGTGCGTGCACGGCTGGGCGAGGCAGGGGCCGGAGCCGACGGGGGCGTACAGCCGCGGTCGCTTCGTGAAGGCTTTCCCGCTGGAGTTCCCCATGGGCGTGGCAGACCTCCACGAGGGCCCTGGCCGGCCTTGGAAGGTCTCCGTGGAGGATTGGGCGCAGCACCTGCTGAGGTATCGCACAGAACACCCACGCATCCGGACGTCATGAAAATACAATACGTGAGAGGAAGTCATGGTTTTAAACCAAGACGTGAGCGAAAAACCAAGACATCAGAAACAAACCATGACAACACTCTTGCTGGATATGTTGTCCAGTACACAGAATGCAGCGTACCACAGTGGCCGATATATATATATATACATGTATATACATATATACATATTTATATATACATATATATATGCATACATATATGTGTAGGACACGATGATTCGATGCTTTTCTTCAGGTCGCATAGTAAGTGGAAGCAGATTTGGGACAAGGCCGTCGTTACCGCTTGTTGCGATCCCGCGGGCTCGAACAGCCGACGCCGAATATGTATATATATATATGCATATGTACAAGTGTTGCCTGTTTTTAATGTTCGTTAATATTGTTTGTTGTCTAGTGTTTTTTGCACAACATCCCAAAAGTTGCATGCGCGACATGTCGCACCGCTCTCCGCGGCGAACCTCGAGCCCAGCAAAACCTGGAGCTCAGCAAAGCCCAGCAATGTGCAGCAAAACCCA